GGGCGGACTTTCATAAGCGGAGCTTGGCACCTCCCATATGAATCTATCTATCTTCTATATATATATATAAAAACTAGCTAAAACCCGGCGTGCTTGCTACTCCTGTCGATATAAAATACAAAATTTTCAAAATATATTGATGTACATTTTTTGTTTATAAAAATTTTATTAATATTTGTTTGTCACTATCCAAAACCATAAAGTAATAAGGCAAAGAAAGTTTGATATTTAAAGTATTTTATTAATTAATAATATTTATGTACATATATTATTTCTTAATAATTATTTCTTATTCCTATTCATTAGCATAAATTTACAAAATATTACAAAATTACTAAAATATAACTTAATATTTACAATTAAAATGTTTCATAATAATTATTTCCTATTCTAAAGCCTTGGGATATACAATATTTTTCGTTTTCCCCTCAGGCGCGTAGATATACAAATCTGAAGTTTTCTCAACTCGCGAGCATGCAACATAAAGCTGACCATGTGAGAAGCATGGATTTTCGTGATTTATTCCACACACTTGCAGGGATTGACCCTGAGATTTGTTTATTGTCATCGCGAATGCCAAACGTATAGGAAATTGCAACCGTTTAAAGTCGAATGGCATTTCCGATGTTGTCATTGGGATCCGAGGTAGTAAGACATCCGTTCCTTTATATTGGCCAGTTGTAATCGTTGCTTCGATTATGTTGTTCATTAATTTCTTAACTGTTAATCGTGTACCATTACAAAGACGTGGTGGATCAATATTTCGCAATAAAATAATTGGAACGCCAATTTTCAACTTCAATTCGTGGGGATACATTGACGACATCATCATTATTTGTAACAGTATCGATGGATTTATGTTTTTAAATTACCATCGATTCTATTCAAAATAATATTATTGATACAATTAACGTCAATGTTTTTGGGTGCCAGTAAAGCACGCTCACATTTTGCAACGTATGTTTGTTGTCAATTTTAACGTGTGAACATGAACATGTTGACATGATGATTTCAGGCAAGCATTGAGTTCATCAGCCGGTGTTGAACCAGGTATCACAGTAAGTGTCCGGCGAAAATCACCCGCTAAAAGAATTAATGTACCTCCAAATAAATTAGAATTACTTCTCATGTTCTTTAAAGTGCGATCAAGCGCTTCTAAGGATTTTTTGTGGGCCATAGTGCATTTATCCTACGCTATTATTTTATACGTTTGCAGGATTTTACCCTTTAAAGAATTTTTCTTAACATTACATGCATAATCTTCAGAAAATTGTGTTTTCAACGGTAATTTGAGTGCATAATGCGCAGTTCTGCCTCCATCTGAAAGTGTTGCTGCAATACCTGATGACGCAATGGCTAAGGCAATATTCTTTTGTGATCGAACTTTAGCTAAAATTAATGAGATGAGAAAGGTTTTTCCGGTTCCTCCTGGCGCATCAATGAAATAAAATCCTCCTTGTAAGAAATAATTATTAAGAAACAATATATGTACATAAATATCATTAATTAATAAAATACTTTAAATATCAAACTTTCTTTGTCTTATTACTTTATGGTTTTGGATAGTGACAAACAAATAAAAATAAAATTTTTATAAACAAAAAATGTATATTAATATATTTTGAAAATTTTATATCGACAGGAGTAGCAAGCACGTCGGGTTTTAGCTAGTTTATATATATATATAGAAGATAGATAGATTCATATGGGAGGTGCCAAGCTCCGCTTATGAAAGTCCGCCCATTTTTCTCGCAAATATTCATATGTTAATGTTAAAGGTCTTCGTGCAAAATTTTAAGATTTAAGAACTCCAATAGTTTTTCAGATAAACGAATTTTGGTATTTAATTCCTATGGGAGATGCCACGCCTCCTATTGGTAGTCCGTCCTAAATATTCATGTCGATAGCTGTTATATTTTCTCAGATATACTAATGTAAGATTTTCTTTATATGGGAGGTGCCACGCCCACTGTAGCTATGCTGCCCATTTTGTCAACATGTGTTCATATGAATGTCAAAGTTGTTCATACAAAATTTGAGGACTCTAGCTGTTGCAATTTCTAAGATATGCGACTTTTAATACTTATTTTGTAGGTTGGCGTGGCACTACTTGAAATTCCTACTACTGCCTACTTGAAATTCCAAAACAAAGGGTAGCCTATAGTTCCTTCCGGGCATAGCTGAAGATACTCTGAAAATTTGAAGGAAATCGGTTCAGCCGTTTAGCTGTCTATAAAGCACAAACAAACATACATACATACAAACACACATTCATTTTTATATATATTGATAGATTGTTTAAATGTATCAATTTCTGTATTTATGTAATTCTGTAAAGAAAAATTTTGGGGATTTTATGGCATAATTGGTATAAGTATGTGCTTTAATTCTGGGTGTAATTGAGTGGCCTGTAACTCTATTGAATTATTTTTTGCTTCTTTATAGCGCATTCTTGGGTAATGTGGAGGTATGGTTGTAAAGCTTTGGATTTTCTTGTCTTTTTGTTGGGGAAACATTTCATTCTTGTATGTGCTGTTTATTTTTTTAAGGTGTAGTTAATTTTTTATGCTTTTTGTTATTTCTATGACTTTGGAAGCCTGGTTTGTTGTGTGGGATTTTGCTAGGGCATTTAAGTTTTTCTTCGCTTTATTTTGATTTATTCAGGTGACTGAGATTCTATTTAGCTACATTAAGAATTAACATTTTTTGGTTTTGTTCTTATATTTACATACTGGTTTTTGTAATGAATTAACTGATAATGATCTGCCAATATCATTAAATTTGTAATTTTTAGGTGATTTTTTGTAACTGTTAATAATGGTTGATAATCATTTTTAAGTGGATGGTTGCTGTATTATATATTTATTCTGTATAATAGGTATATTTTTTAACAATTGTAAAGTTGATGTCTTTTGACTGTATTTTTTAAGGATTGTTTACTATGAGTGGATAGTAGTCTTGTAATACTATAACTTATATATGCATTTTGCATTCTTCTAATAGATGAAATTCTTCTAATTTTACATGTCGTAAGTACCCTAATTTGAGCCGCCACAGCGCCGTCCCTGGAGCATCTGCAGGGTTCATCTTCAAAACTTAAACTCGAATAAATAATACTCCTTGGCTACGCTCACGCCAAATTTTATACCGATCGGATCAGCCGTTTAGAAATGCCAGATTTATTTCCAAAAAATTTCGATTCTGCCCCACTGTGCACTGTATATATCGAAAACTCCCGCTTAGGAGGTAAAAAGGAAAAGGGCATTTAAAATAAACGGGCAAAAACGGAATACTTAATACTTATGTATAATCCCAGCAAAAAAAGAACTTCCAAAGAAACGAAAAAGAAGTAGAATTTACTCCATGGAAGTACTGAAAAAGACCTGAAGAAGTGATGATTTTAACACAGGCTTGTCATAGGAGGGATGGCCTTTTTATTTGATTACAATTTCATTACTTCTGAAGACATTTTCAAGAAGTAATTTTAATGGTCTTTTTTGGAAGTTATTCGGAAATGAAATTGTAGTATTATAGAATACAACTTATTTGACTTAAATAATATTAAGATTAGTTAGGATAATAGAAACATTTAATACAAAAGCCCAAATATAACATATGGGCAATTCCATACGATTGTATGTGACATACTTACGCCTTCAGAGTGGTATAGATTTTATAAAATTAGGAGTACTTGGAAAACAATTTTGTCAATTTTTTCCATTTAAAGAATACTATATTTGCAAAAGGAATTCGGAACCTTGTTTTCCAAATTATGGATTAAAATATGGCGATATCATACGTGACAAAAAACGGAAGTGTTTTTAAAGTACATGTAAATATTTACGAAAATCTGCGAATTCTGTAGGTGTATCTTTTTTGTTTTAATTTCTTACACTATGGGACATATTTTCCATTAGTAATCCATAATTTTTAAATAAAAAAAGAAATTAATATAATTTTATAATGAACATATTTAAATATCGTACGTGACTGATTTTTCTCCTGATATTTTTTTAGGTTATAAAATATATATTTTGGAAATATATGCATACACACACTTCAACAAATCAAAAGGAGTAGGAAAGTGCAGTCGGACATGGCCGACATATATACATGTTTAAGCAATTTATAGATAAAAATAAAAAACTGGAGTTATATGGCGACTAGGGTCAAATATGGACCGATCCTCATAAAATTCTAGGGTGTGACTTTAATTCATATAAAACTTATTTGTGTATTTATCATAATACTAATGATTAGAGGTGAGTTACGGACGTTTAAGTGTTTTTCTGAAATTAAACTTTGAATGGAACTAGGGTCAAATGAGCTCCAATCGTTATGAAAATCGGTATAAAGGTTTAGGTTTTTAGATCTGCCGATTTCTGAAGGGATAGTATTATAATTAACAGAATTATGAGCTAAAAAGTGATATTTTCGGTTCCGTTTGTATAGCGGCGAGGTGTAAAAATAGACCGATTTCAAAAATTTTCAATAGTCTTCGTCTTTGGTGCTACAAAAGATCATATACCAAATTTTGTTGAATTATCTTTAAAAATGTAGAAGTTATAAGGGTTTTATTTTTTCAGTCGTGGTTTACCTTTTCATGGAATTGCCCATATTTTATCTCATAAAAATGTAAGAACAAAAAAAAAATATCTTCAACATTGAAAAAATATAATTATTTTCGCTTCTTCGGAAGTCTTTAAACATCACTTCCTCAGATGGTAAAAAAATTCAATTAGTGCTACTTTTGAAGTGGTGATAAATGTTATTCTTTTGGAAGTACTTCGTTTTATTTTTGCTGGGATGTTATGAATTCTCTAAAAACTACGGACAACGCCGGGTACAAAAATCTTGTGGTTTTCATAAAATTTATACGACCAATATTTCAATGTGCCGATGGAATGACAAAATCGAGCATATTGATTGATTTTTTTATAATGGATGCAAAATGGGTCTTAGTACTTATTATAAATTTTAGGAAATATAGGTATACTTACTTAGTTTCCTCTAACGTGTTTATTGCCAAATCAATTTTATTCTCATCAGCATAAACCAATCCGCATTCTACGCTTGCATAAGCAATCAAATAAAGATCTTCTTTTATGAGAGGGTGCAAATTAATGCATTCATTCAAATCTCTGAAATAATAAAAAAAAATAGTTAAAATATTAATATTTAGTTTTTTGTCTATTAAATAACAAGTTTGTTTGTGAATAACTTACTGTAATGCTAATCCTGGTTTTTTCATTTGCCTTAAGCATGCTCCGCGTAACAGAAGACATAAAGCTTTGTTATCTGAATCATATGCCGAACGTTCCGTACTTCTTTCCATTTCATTCAGTTTTGTATCTATAACTCTATAAATACTATCAGCTATTTCATATTGTTTGCTAATTACTTTAAACGTATTCCAAAGATACATTAATTCTATAGCAGGTAAACAAAGAAATTTTCCCTGTGCAAAATATCTTTCGGATTTTTTGCATATGAATTTCTCCATTGGCAAAGATTTTCCAGCAATACGCTGTTTGTAGGCGGGACAGTCGCGCATTAAATTGTCTATTGACAGTTTTTCAGTTGTTGTTAAATTTGGTAACATCAGCATAACAGCAGCTTTTTGAAATGAATAAATTGTACGAGACCATTTGCTATTTTCGACTAAAAATGTCGCATATAAACTGGCTTCACGCCAATCCAATCTTAAACTAAAAAAAAAAGATTTACATATTTTAATATAACTTATTTACAGAAGAAATAAAAAATTCAATATCTAATTATAACATACACCATTATAGCTTTGAATTACGTGAATGTACTGATGTTGAAATGCACAAAAATATCAGTTCTAAACAGTGTTGCCAACAAAAAATTAGAAACTACACTTAGTCGGCTTCTAAATTACACATTTAAGGAAAAATTACACATGCTCCTTATATGCACGGTACAGGTAGCAATTATTAAGATATTTTGAAAAATAAAAGTCTTTCAGCACAAGTGAGAGTGAAGTCTATTCAGAAGGATTAAAATCAATTATTTCAACTTACTTCCATACAACCGGGTGCCTCATATAGGGTTCATAATTACGACTTTAAAGAGTGATCGCCTTTTTTCGTTATAAAACTAAGAACTAATAACTGTAACAACGCTGAACTTTCGGATGTACATATATTATACATTATACATTGCACTACTAAACCGAATTATCATAATTATTATTTATTTATTTAGACTTTATTAGGACACTGTAGGCTGTTGTTAACAGTTAATTTATCGTTAGGATAAAACATAATCAGACATTGAGAAAGTGGGGGTAAGTCATTTTATTTTGCGGCAAATTCATAAATTTTTCATATATGGAGTCTGACAGCGTCGGTTTTGAGAGATAATTTTTATATATGGAGTTTAACATCTTCGTGCTAAATTTACGTGAACAAAACAAGTAAGAGTGTTATATTCGGCTATGCGAAATCTTATATACGCACCATCAAATCGTATGCCGTAAGAGGCATGCTCCTCTGTAAGTATCAGGGAGATCAGGCTTAAGTCAATTATGTACGTGATCTTCGAATTAACAACATATTAATTTTTAAAAACAAAAAAAATATTTTTGTCCAATTTTTTAATTATAAAATTTGGTAGAATAATTTCGAGTCGTATAACACTTATTCGTTTCGAATTTCATTGCTGTTCTCCTATTGTTAATTCAGTCATAAGCGTAAAAGTAATTATCTGATGGGGACCTTATATGAGGGTAAGGATAATTATGAATCGGTACCCATAAAATTTTGTACATAGATTTTGTTGGCTATGGTCAGTTATAGACAAATTCTCATAAAATTCGGAATAAACAATTATAATAAAAAACTTTTTATGGCTAGTACAACGGTGAAGTACTCATCATTTTCTCATGGTGGCTTTATATTTATATGAGGGGTAAGTTCAATTGTAGACCGAACCTGATAAAATTTTGTAATGCGATTTTCATTAATTCAAAAAATGTTTATGTCAAAATTTATCGTTTTTTAATTAGCTAAAGTAAATTTCTCAAGGGAACCTTATGTGCGGGTAGGATCAGTTATGGATCAATCCTTACAAATTTGGTAGAGATATTAGCTTATATAAAACCCATTTATGTCGAGTTTCATTATTATATTCGTATTTTTAAGCCAGTAATTAGAGTAGTTATCTATGGGGGACCTTATATGGGGGGTAGGGTGAGTAAACGACCCATTCTGCATGAATATGTAGAAGGATTACGTTCCTATAAAAGTTGCTTATGTATGTCGAGTTTCCTCCATATAGTCTTATGAGCGTTAAAATCATTTCTTGAAGTGGACCTTAAGTGGGGGTAGGTTCAATTCTGGAGCAACTCTCAAAAAAAATTATAGAGACAAAGGGGTATATTGATTTTGTCATTCCGTATGTAACACATCGAAATATTGGTCATAGACCCAGAAAAGTATATATATTCTGGGTCCTGGATTTAATTAACATAATCATTGCGAACGTTTAAAATGTTCTTTTAATAGTTTGTTATACCCTCCACCGCCATCAGTGGTGATAGAGGGTATATATAACTTTGTCATTCCATGTGTAACACCAAGAAATATTCATCTGAGACCTAACAAAGTATATATATTCTTGATCCTTATGAAATTCTGAGTCGATTTAGCTATGTCCGTCCGTCTGTCTGTCTGTGTAAAACACGCTCACGTTAAAACGAAGCAATAGAAATTCACGAAATTCACCCAAAACATTCTTTATTATCCGGTACAGTTTGGTATTGAAAATCAGTAAAATCGGTTTATGACGTAAAAAGTTATGAGTAAAAATTTCAGACTACCTCGAAAAAAATAACGTTTTTTTCCCAATTCTTAAGTAGTTTTCTCAGAAACTACCAAAGATATTTCGATAAATTTTGTCACACATTATTTTTTTGTGTTAGGGATCAATATGTTCATATAAGTTCCACTTCCGAAATTCACTTAAACGCATATATTTCATTGTCATATAAAGGTATCTTGATAAAATTCGACAAAAAATGTTTCGTCCATATATGAATCACTCTACGGAATGTTTTTCGGATAGGACCATAATTGTTCATAGCTCCCATATAAGGTTCACTTCTGAAAATCACTTAAACGCATATGTTTCATTGATAAATAAAGCTATCGGTATAAAGTTCAACTTAAATATGTTTTGTGTATGAAATTGGTCATAGCTCCTGTATAAAGTCCACTTCCGAAAATCACTTAAACGCACATATTTTATTAATTAATAAATCTATTGGAGTAAAATTCGACTTGATTTTTTTTTTTGCATATAAATCATTATACGAATTTTTTTTCTTGATCGGTCCATAATTGGTCACAATTTCCACTTAAACACACATTGACAATCAAAGTCATCGGATAAAATTAGACAAAAATGTGTATTTTGTATATATAAATCGCTATACGGAATTTTACTTCAAAAAATCACTTAATACCACTTCATTCATTATTAAATGATTATATCCAGATAAAATTCGACATGAGTATGTTTGTGTATAGATAAATTATTATATTAAAATGTTTACAACTGGACTATTAATATAAAATTTTATGAACCTAATCAAAATTAGTTCCACATATGCATAAATGTTAGTACCCTCACTACGGAAACAAACATTTTTCCAAGCTAAAAATTAGATAGTTAAACGGGTTTTAATAAAAAGTAGCTTGCTAGTGGAGGGTTTTTAAGATTAGGATAGCCGAATATAACACTCTAACTTGTTTCGTTAGTAATTACTAGTGTTGTTTATAATGTGTATAGGTATTTTATTCACGACTGTTGGTATGATAACTCCGGTAGTATATTTGCTATAATTATTGTAGAAACGATCCACTTTAAATCTTTCCTGAGCTCGACGTCTTATGTTATAATGGTGATCTATAACCTTCAGAAATCGATCATCTTTGTCAAACTCGCTTATTAATGTCATATAATAGATGCTTTTAATATTCAATACGTTCATGTTTTTCGCAAGATTACTATCGTTTGGGAATATATTTCGTGTTTGATTGGTGTTTGTGTTATGTTGGCTAGTGAGTTATTCGGAATTGTGTTGTATTTCATTGAATATGGTGTTGTTTGCTATGTGGTGATGTGTTTTATTTATATTCTGTACTAGTTGGTCGTTTGCATAAGAGTTGAATGCATTTAATGATGAATTTATGTTAGTTTGTGTTGAGTACCGTGCTATTGTAGCTTGAAGTGTTGTTATGAATTGTGTTATTGGATATGTAAACGTTTGTGTTTGCTCTTGCATTGTTTATTATGTTTATGTTGGATTGGGTGAGGTTGTTTTCTTCGAGTGATCTGTTGTTTCTGTATGTGTAGTTAGTTGTTCTGTGGATTTGTAGTGTGTTGTGACCCTTGAAACTATAGCTTTTGCTGAGGATTTTAAGTATTTGATTTTGAGTATTTTGTATAATTCGACAATGTGTTGAACTTCCCCATGCTTCGATACCATGTCGAATGTAAGACTCTACTAGTGAGAAGTAAACTTGTCTTAACACACTATATGTAGAACAGTAGCTCAAATGACATAAGATATAAGCAGATTTTCGTAGTTTACTTTGAAGATATTCAATATGAGCTTTTCATTTAAATTTACTATCGACATATATTCCTAGATATTTGTACGTATCTGCAGTTTCTATTATTGTGGAGCAATTGTAGTTATCATTTGTAGTATATTTGGCTTTTTCATGTAGACATTTTATCGGGGTTATTATATTAAATGTTGAATTTGGAATATGCTGTGGTTTAACGTACATTAACTTGTTTTTTTTTGCGTTAATTATTAACCCGTTGTCGTGACACCATTTATGTTGAGGCCCACGATAAAATATCTGATATGAAAGAGGACGACGATTGTTTGGATTTGGACACAGAGCCCTTACTTTAATGTGACCCTTCCCGCTCGCTACGTCTGTGGTATTCATATTACTGTGAATGATGCTAAGGAAGATTGACAGGTGTCTAGCAAGACGTTTTTGAATTGAGTCGCGATTTCCCGTACAATTTTAATTGTCCAATTGTATTAAAACTTTTAACAAAATTACTACGTGGCTAAAAATTGTTAATTCGTGAATCCTTTGCGTCATCACTTAACTTGTTAAAAAGTCGTTTCAATTACTACTCCGTGGTAATTATAGCATTTTTATAAACAAAGTCACTACGTAACGTAAAAGTGAAAAGATTGCTAATCCTTAGCGATTTAATTTTTGTTGTTTATAATAGCAATATCAAAAAATTCCGCTTTGCAACGAATTTGATCGCATAAAATGGGTAGTCAGGCTCACTCGAAATTTGTCATTGAGACAGAAAATTTATTTGATGAATGCGACAACTTCGCAAAATTACATGGCGAAGATTTGACAGAATCTTTGGTAGAGGCAAAATTGGAATCCTTAGAAGAAGATTGGAAGACAGTTCGAGCGTCTTATGAGATAATATATAGTACTGCGGATTCTTTAATATCCGTTGAATTTAAAGAATTAGCCTGAACTAGGTTCCGAGAATGTAGGGAAAAATATCAATGTAAGGCAAGTATGAACGACCTTCTAAAAGCTGCAAAAGATCCTCCTAACGTTCAAAGTGGCCCTCACCATTCTTCAGTTATTAGGTACTTCATCGTTTTATCCGATGAATTCGACTT